ACTTGATGAAGCTGGCATAACTTGAACACTAAAATCTAAAAAAGACACTAAAAAAAATTCATCTATGATGAGTAGAGGAACAAACTAAATAAATATTAGCAAATAGAATCCAGCAATATATCAAAAGGATAGTACATTATGACTAATGAAGGAGTGATTCCACAAGGATGTTTCAATACCAAAAAATCTATCAAGAAGGTGAAAACACACTTGGTAAAATTCAGTTCTATCAATATATTAAAAAACATTGCATTGTAACTTTTAAATAGGTGAACTGTATGATATATGGATTATAGCTCAATAAAGCTGTTATAAAGAAAATCTTAGACCTCTGGACAAAAGGGATCTTGGAAGGCAAGGTAGAAAGCAGACAGAATTAACGACTGCATTTTGGGTATTATGCGGGGAGATGGCAGACACGGGAGAATGGAGTCTCCAACTCCTGAGTCACCTTACTGCTCTGTCTTGAAAGGTGGAAGCCAAGAAGTGAAGGAGTGGGCGGTGCCAAGAGACCCTCTAACCTCTAAGAGGTTAGAGCCAATGGATATCAACAAGCAGAACCACACCCACAAAGTGGGCGGTGTCCCTTAACTCCTCCATCGTAATTAGGTTCTTTCAACGGCCAAATTAACCTCTTCTCAGCAGGAGTAAATGAGGAAGTCCAGAGAAAACGGCCCCTTGGACAACAGTTCTCTGACGAGCTACCCCAAACTTCAAATCCCACCCCCACCCCACAACCCTCTCAAGGGCAACCTACCCTGAATTATTAGGCAATCTGAAATCCTGGATCTCCAGGTAAGGGCTATCATTTTCTCGGTCTTGTAGGACTTTGTTCATTCAAAATTTTCAAGGCCTCAAGTTGTTCATTAAAGTCTCTTATTAACTTTTTGGAATCTCTGCTGCATTTGTAAAAACCAGATTTTTATTTATTTATTTTTTTGAAACAGCTTTTGACTTTGTGATCCTTTTTTCTATACCACTAATTTCTGCAACTTATTATTTTCTTCCTTCTATTTATTTTGGATTTATTCAGTTCTTTTTCTAGCTTCTTAAATTGGATGTTTAGCTCATCAATTTTCAGCCTTCTTTTCTGCTACTGTGTAATAATTTAAAATTAATTTACCATTTTAGCTCCCTCCCATCAATTTGATATGGTTTTTATTTCTTACTTCTCTGTAGTTTCTAATTTTTATTATGATGTAGTCCTTCACCCTTCATGTCCTTCATGAATTCTTTTAAATGTGATTTTTAAAACATCCAATTGTATGGCTTTTTCTTTTGTTATATTTTCATTGTTCACATCTGACTTAATTGCATTGTGGTCATAGAACAAGGTCTGTATAATAATCACCTGAAATTTGTTGAGACTTGTGCTATGGATTATTGTGTGATCAATTGTATATTCTGTGTGCTTGAGAAAATATGTATTTTCTAATTATTGAATACAACATATGTTCAACATATGTCCCTATGTCAAGCTTGTTGTGTTCAAATCTATATATTTACTGTTTTTCTGCTTATCTATGGATTTTGATAAATGTGTGTTAATTTTCCTTTGTCGATTTCTCCTTGTAGTTCTGTCAGTTTTATACTTTTGAAGCTATATTATTAGGTTCATGCAATTTGTAATTTTCATAACTTCCTGTTAATGTAAACTTTTAACCTCTTTAGCTCAAATAATATTTTATTGCTGTAACGTGTATAATGTCTTTTGTTTAGTATTTGCCTGGTAGAGCTTCCTTCTTCCTTTTACTTTAAATCTTCCTATGTCCTTGTGTTATAGATGTGTCTCACATAAATAGCAGATAGCTGGATTTAAAACATTTGTCCTCAATATTTGTCTTTTAACTAGTATGTTTAGTCCATTGCAAATAATTGTGATTCCTACCATATGTAGATTTATTTCTAATATTTTACCTTCTGCTTGTCCCACTTTTTCTACATTAACCTTTTATATTTTGCTGTGCATTCTTTTGGGTTGATTTCTCTCTCTTTTTCTCCCTCTGCTGGTTTGTGAATGCAGCAGAGACTACTAACGCTTCCTAATAACTGTGTTCCTCTGTCCTACCAGCCTTCTCGTTCCAGCCAATGGAAGGTGAACAGAAGTGATGTGCTCCACTTGTAGACCTGACCCATAAAACTCATTCTCCTTCTCCATCCAGAAGCTCACTGGCAAGAACTCCAGAATCTAGAGGAGGGAAGAGCCCCAAGATGAAAGGAGCCTGGGTTCCTTAATGACTGAATGAAGTAGAGCCCCCCCCACCCCCATTCCAGGCTATACTGTACTAGACCTTAATATAAGCAGGAAATAAAATTTGATTGTATGAAGTCATTGAGATTTTGTATTTGATCTGTTAGAGAAGCTATCATTATTTACCTTAAATTAATACAGAAATTGTAAATTGTGTCTATCTTTTTTAGTGGTCACCCTTGAAATTTTAACATGCATCCTTATTGAAGTCTAATCAATATTATATTTATCATCCTGCTGAGATGAATACTCTGTCTCTAGCTTGTGTGTTATTTTTGTCCAGTATTTTAGTTCTATGTCATTTTTTTAACCTTACAAATGAAACATTGTTATTATTGCTTTATAGAATCAATATGTGTTTACGTTTACCCACATTATCATCAATTTCTTGGTTTGCCATGTCTTCTGTCTCAGGTCTCAGATCTTCCTTCTGGGATCATTTTACTTCTCCTTGAAGTATATTCTTTACCAAAGATTTGTGGGTGGAAAACTATTTTGTTTGCCTGGAAATATCTCTATTTTACTTTTTTCTTGAGAAATAGTTTTTTGCTAGATTAACAATTCTAAGTTGACAGTTATTTTCTATCACCCCTTGGCAGATACTTTCCCACTTCTCCTGCTGTTGATAAGGAACCAGCTGTGAGATTGGCATTCCTTTGTAGGTAATGTCTTTGTGCCTGGTCCCTTTAGATCTATTTTTAGAGTGTAGTTTCCTTTAGCTGCAGTTTCCTTTTATTTATCCTCCTTTGGATATGTTGTGCTTCCCCAGTCCAAAGATTTGTGTCTTTCCCCAATTTTGGAAAACACTCAGCTTTTTTTCTCTTTGCGTATGGCTCTGCCCCATTCTTCCAATGATCTCTTTCTGGAACTCCTGTTAGATGTATGTTGGACTTTCTTCCACTATCCTCTATGTCTCTTAATCTCATATTTTTAATACTGTAGTTTCTCTGTGCTACATTATTGGCAATTTCCTCAGATTTATCTCTCTTCGTAGGTTTTTAACTGGTTGTTTAACCCATCCATTGATGCTTTTAATATTAATGATTTGTTCATTCCTAAAAGTTCTTTTTGGTTCTTTTTCAGACACCCTGATCATTTCTGAGAATCTTTTGTTCCTTGCTCTTCATTTCAACTCTTTAAAAATTTTTGTCTTTTCATCTTTAAATATATTAAGCATATTTATTCTATATTATGTACCTGATAATTCCAGTACGTTAGGTCTTTGCAGGTCTGACTCTGCTGCTTGAAAGTTCTGCTAATTCTCCTTTAAGGTGCTTGGTTTCCTTGTGTGTTTTGTCATTTCTTGTTGTGACCTCATGTTCATTGAAAGTTTATCTGTGGGAATCCTGCGAGGCCCGGGAGAGGCTGTGTTTCCCCCAGAGATGATTTATATTTACTTATGACAAGTGCCAGGGGGCGGGGTGCTATCCACCAGGCACCTTTTATATTAATCTCAACTTGGATTTTTCAGACTACGCAGGTTGTGTGAATTTGAACCAAAATCCCATGTGAGAGAAGGTTTTGGGTTACAAATTCTCCAAAAAGACACTACTTCCCTCCCGTCAGAGACAGGACCAAGACACATACATTTTATTGCTATCTAACTCTTTCATAGAGGGTATAGCCCTTCAGCTTTCTATGTGTAGGGGTTTCTTTTCTTTCATCAACCCAAGACTTTGTCTTCACCTAGCCTCTAAAACCAAAATCTCTAAGTTACTAGAGAGTGACAATTGTCCCAAAGCAGTTACTAGCTTTAACACTTGCTTACCTATCTGAATTCAAGCCTAGGCTTAATTTCTGGCTTCTTAAAGATTTCCCTCAATTTCTTCTAAGCTCATCTATGCATTTAAAGAGGATTGTTGAAATGTATTTTATGTTACATTTTAGGTGTCTTATAATATGGTGTGTTTTGTTTGTCTTATTTTATTGTCACATTGGCCCAGATGAAGTCCTCCTTGGTCTTCTTCCATCTCTGTAGTCAATCTCTACTCTCCCCCTCATTCCCTGCCAAATACCTTTCCTCCAGGCTCCTAGACCACCTTAGCAAAAATAAACAATGTTGTCTAAAGCTTTAAGCCCCTTGGTTGACTTGGTAAAGTAATCTTTCCAAGTATTTAAGTATTTAATTTAAATACTATTCCAAGTATTTAAGAGATATGCGAGGAGGTCACTAATTAGCAGATAGTTAACCACTTTGCCATAATCAGTGAATCCACTGTTTTCTGAGCAAACTCTCTCTCTCTGGTCCAGTTTACTTACAGGAAGCACCAGGCAGAGAGGACCTCGGATTCTAGCATTTGAGTTTAACAGAGTCATTGGAAGGCAAGACTGGGAGTTGGACACTTTTTTTTTTATGACAGAAGTAAAGTTCCACTGAACTGGTTTATTGACCAGCACCATTTTTGCCCTAGTTTCATAGTGGCCAGACCTTACACAGACCAGTTCCAAGAGGAAGGTAGCCTAGGAGGTGTGGGGTCAGCAGTCACCATCAACCAAATACTGGAAGTCAAAGCACACCATTATTATGGGTCTGGTGAGGGAAAGTGTGGGAGAGGTGGGGAATGACTGCTATGTTAATCCCCACCAGGCCAGAAAAACCTTCCTAATCCGGAAAAACAAAAGGTCTTTGGGTCCAGTTACATTAGCACTTGTACATTTACCTCTTCTAATGTCAAGTTGCCAGCCAGGGAGTTCCACTTTGAAAAAGAAATGATGCTATGCCAAATGCACCAAGTATTTATTTCCAAATGGAATTACTCACAGGGCAGAAAGTTTTTTCCCTGGGTATTTACCCACTTCATTAATCTTCTTTTGGCTTTGCCTCACCTGAAGCCGTGGACAAGGCTTGGGTAAGCGCCCTTTAGCTTTAGGTTTGAAGATATCTGTGGCCCTACTGTGGATCATGGAGACCACAGGAGGCATCTGAAGGAGGATGTACAAGAAGTAGGCAGGGATGGGCAAGATGGTAATGACGATGAGGACTATGAGCAAGACTTTAGCCCAAGATGGATAAGTTCGGCACACCTCATTTGACTGTGGAGAAAGGGAAGGAAGGTTTAGAATGTCCAGGTTCTGTGAAATGCAGAGGGTGGGGGTAGGAGACAAACCAAGACAAGAGACTGAACCCCCAGGGAATCAGGGAATAAGACGACTGAGTCCTATAGGCAAGAGTGGATTGAAAGTTTTGTCCCCACTCCCTAAGGGGTGCTGGGGTCTAGGGAGGGAGGCTCACAATGCTTGAGTCCCAGGCCAAGTAGGTGATGGTCTTCAGATACAGATGAAACAGGGTGCTTACAAACAGGACCAGCAGCACAAGTGGAGACAGAAAGCACCACAGCCAACGATAGACGGGGGAGATGGGGCGGCCCAACATGATACTCAGATCTGCAAGGAACCTGGGAGGAAGGGCCACAAGGCTTTGGGAGACCTATTCAGGCCTTATCCAACCTCAGGGGAGGGGTCAGTCCAAACCCAGCCTGGAAGAGAGAGCCCTTAATATTTCTGAGAGCTCTCTGCTCACCTCCACAACCAGTCTTCTTGCCTCTAATACATCTCCTTTCAGTCTGATTTCTGTCTCAGCCCTAGGATGTTTTTTTTTAAAACATTTCTCTCCTTTATCAGTCTCAGGATAAAAACCAAGTTCCTTTTTTTTTTTTTTGTAAGGAAGATCAGCCCTGAGCTAACATCTGCCAATCCTCCTATTTTTCTGCTGAGGAAGACGGGCCCTGGGCTAACATCCGTGCCCATCTTCCTCCACTTTATATGGCACACCGCCACAGCATGGCTTGCCAAGTGGTGCATCAGTGCGTGCCCGGGATCCGAACCGGCGAACCCCGGGCCTCCGCAGTGGAGTGTGCGCACTTAACCTCCTGCGCCACTGGGCTGCCCCCAAAACCAAGTTCCTAAATGTAGTTTCTTCAAGTTCATATATCCAGCTTTCTTTGGTGCACCTTCTTAACCCTAATACATATGCAAGTAGGGTTCCTTCTGCCTAGAATGCTCTTCTCTCTTTCCCTCCCTTGACAAACTCCCCTTCAGCGGCCTAGATTCTGTTCAAGCATTCTCTCCTTGCCTGACTCTTAATCTTTAGATAACCACCTGTGTTCCGAGAGTGCCCTTGGCTGCCTCTGTCATAGACATACCACCCTGCCAAGGATCTGCTTCCCATATGTCTTCATTTTGGGGATATAAGAGCAGAAACTAAATATAGTTTATCCCAGTATCCCCAGTACTCACCACAAGGCCTGCCTGGCACACAGGAGGCCCTAAGAAATTAATTCTAGAGTGAGTGAGTGCATGAATGAGTGAACTGATACCAAGAACCACCATCACCTGGAAACACTGCCACCCTTGGATCACACAGTGCTTCTCAAATGTTAGTATGCATAGGAATCCCTTAGGGCTCTTGTTAAAACACAGAAACAGATTCGAAGATCTGGGGTGGAGCCTGAGGGTCTGCATTTCTAATAAGCTTCCAGGTGATGCCAATGCTGCTGGTCCAAGGAGCACACTTTGAGAAGCAAGGGATTACACGTTCCAGAGGTAAACACAACTCTGGTTAAAAGTAGGGCTCGGGGGCCCCCAGGACTTGATATAGACTGTTCACCACTTCTCTGTTTTACAGCTGTTTTCTCCAGGAACCAGCCCATGCCTTTCTCCTTCCCACCCTCCTGGGGCGTCTCCATAAGCCCTGGGATCAGAGACCTGGCGGTGAAAGCAGGAGGGGCCAACACCACCTAGGGACCCTAGCTGAGTGGGTGCACGGCAGGAGATCCTGAGCTTGGGACATCCATCACCTCCTGGCCCCATAGATCCAGGCCATGGCCACGTTCTCCAAGATGACAATGAAGAAGAGGGGCAGAGACGCCCAGTAATCATCCAGCAGGTTCACATAGTAGCTTCCCGAGGGCCTCACGAAAAGGAGGCTGCCTAGGAACATAGGCACACAGACACCCACTGGAGGAAAACATCAGATTTGGATCAATGTCAGAATTCAAGCTGGGCTGTATAAGAGTCCCAGTGGGGTTAAGCTAAACAATGCCCATAGTGGGAACGGGGTCATAGGTCAGAGTACCTGTGAACAGCTTTGCATGTTTCCTGAGGGGAGAGAAGGTGTCCTGGAGAGGGGCAAGGATGCCCTGCAAGATCCCTATCATGGTGCTCAGCCCCAGGTTTGCCAGCAACAAGAAAATGGTGATGGCCCAGAAGGTGGATCCAGAAAACAGAGAGATAATGTCGGTAAATGCCACGATGGCCACACCTGGACCCTCCATAACCTGTGAGTGAAGGGAGGAATGGCGAGGGCTCTGAGCTCAGTCTGTAGAGTCCCAACTCTGTCCCCTTCCCTAGGAAACTATCTGCAGCACTGTCAATGAACATTATATACTCATCTGGCCTTGAGGCATGAGAACTTCCTCCTACAACAGCTGCTGTTTAACAACTCTTTTGGGTTGGGCGAATAGGCTTATATGAACTCTAGTGCTTGGTGCTACAGCGGCTACAACTGCCTCATCACAAAAGGATACCATGAACCTCGGTCTTGGTTGTCCAGGATGCTGCTGAGAATTGCCTTTCTGGATTCTACAGACACCTAAGAAGGGCTGAAGTGTCCGGTGCACTTGGGGCTTTGAGGGGAACTTTAGGGTCCCATCCCCAACCCTTACCTACCTCCTCCAATTTCTCAGATAGGTTGCAATCAGACAAATGGAGTAGGACCATGTTTCTGACTTGTTCGGGGAGGTTGTCGAGCCACCTGGAGTAGATGGAGCTCGGATCATGATACAGACTCTCTGGGGGCTGGGCCTCAGGAGGGATCACCCCAGTAGCTACCAGATTCATCACTGTCTCAGCATTCCTGGGGACAGGGGTAGAATCATATAAAATCATTTGGCCCTTTAGGATAACTTCTCCTTTATCTTCTAGATGAGAAGGGAAATCAGCAGCCTAGAGTTTTTTTTTTTCCTTGTGAGGAAGATCAGCCCTGAGCTAAAATCTGATGCCAACCCTCCTCTTTTTTTTTTTTTCCTGAGGAAGACTGGCCCTGAGCTAACATCCATGCCCATCTTCCTCTACTTTATATGGGACGCCGCCACAGCATGGCTCGACAAGCAGTGCGTCGGTGTGCGCCCAGGATCCGAACTGGCGAAGCCCGGGCCACTGCAGTGGAGCGCGCATACTTAACCGCTTGCGCCACTGGGCCAGCCCCAGCCTAGACTTTTTGATCTGATTAAAGTAGAGCCAGCGCTGAAACCCAGGTCTCCAGGATCCTAGTGTACACTGCTTGACACCTACTTTCATAATCACAAAGGTGTTTGTGTGAGGCCAGAGAATTTCTGACTTAAGTGGACCCCTAAGGGGGTCTTTCCTACAGTATCACTGAGGACTTTAGCACCCGTACCTCCTCCTACACAATCTCCGCATAACATTAAATTCCTTAGCTTTCTTGACCTCCTGGTCTCTCCAACCTCTTTATTCACAATTCTCTTCACCTTCTATACTTCAGCCATACTCAACTATTAAACCTTCAACTTGCCATGCTCTCTTGTCTCAGTATCTTTGGTACATGATGTTCTCTCTGCCTAGAACTACCCCACTCTACCCTGACTCAGTCTACCCCAATTCTACCCGCCACGGCACATTCTCCATATGGCAAATTCCTACAAATCCTTTCTCATCTCACTGAACTCTATTTACTGTCATGGAAAGCTGTTCAAGATCTACTCTCTTTATCTTTTTCTTTGTGTGTGTGTGTGTTATTCACTTTTTAAAATTTTATTGAGGTCACATTAGTTTATAACATTATATAAATTTCAGGTGTACATCATTATATTTCGATTTCTGTATAGACTGCATTGTGTTCACCAACAAAAGTCTGGTTTCCAACCATCACTATACATATGTGCCCTTTTACTCCTTTTGCCCTCCCTCCACCCCCTAAGAATTATTTTGATAAAGTTAAATCAACAAGCTACAGAAAAGTAGTACAGTGTGATCCAACTTTTTGAAAAATGGTATGTTTTTATACATGGGTCTATGAATGGGAAATAGCTGAAAGAATACTAGCAGCAGGGGGCCGGCCCAGTGGCGCAAGCGGTTAAGTGTGCGCACTCTGCTGCAGTGGCCTGGGGTTCACCGGTTTGGATCCCCGGCGCGCACTGACGCACTGCTTGTCAGGCCATGCTGTGGCGGCGTCCCATATAAAGTGGAGGAAGATGGGCACGGATGTTAGCCCAGGGCCAGTCTTCCTCAGCAAAATAAAAGAGGAGGTCATTGGCAGATGTTAGCACAGGGCTGATCTCCTCACAAAAAACAAAAAACAAAACAGAATACTAGCAGTGGTTATTTGTCAAGAGACAAACTCAGCTCAGGATTGCCTCCACTAGGAAGCCTTCTCTGACTGCCCCAGGAAGTTAGTAGCTTCCTCCTCAGTGTCTCCTCATCATCCCTACTACTAGTTCTCACTTAGTTTGTGATTATCTGTTTAGTATCTGCTTTCTCAAAAGGCTATGATTTTCCTGAGGGCAGGGTTGTGGTCTGATTCATCATTGGCTATGTTTCCAGAACTCATAGGGTTTGGTAGATAGGAGATGTTTTACAAATGTCTGATGAATATTTTTGGAATGAATGTCACAGGAGAAGAAAATGGGGAATAGGCTATGGGGGCTCTGGTGCTGTGGGCCTTTTGTTCCTTCTCTAATGGTTCAGCTAAAGGTATCCCCTAATTTTTCCATGGCAGTCCCCAGTTAAGAATGGAGCGAACACACCTTTGAAAACCTCCAAGATTGGGCCTTTCCTAGTTTAGAAAGGCAGCTCTGAAAGGGATAGAGTTGGAGAGATTCAGGTGTTTCTAAGGTTTAGGATGCTCCAATTTGAGGGCCCCACATTGACTGAACCAATATCGCTGAGGGATGGGGCCTAGACTGGAGTTTTGTGGGCTATTTCCGAGACTTTGGTCTTTCGTGATGATCTCCATATGAAAGATTGGGCTCACTTCAGGTAACATTTGTCGTTGTTCTCTGCAGCCAAGTGGCCCATTAAGGCAAATACAAACACCGTGGCCGTCAAGGAGGAGGCCAAGTTGAGAAGAGCCACAGCAAAGGCGTCAATGACACAGTTGTTGGACCGAGGGATGTACGAGCTGATTGTGGTGAAGCTGCCAAAGCCGAGGCCCATGGACAAAAAGATTTGGTTCCCTGTCCGGCGCCACACTTCCACAGAGTACAGGGCTGACACCTGAGGAGGAGAAGGACCATGCAAACTGGGATGTAAAGCAGGGAGAGGTATACCATGATGGAGATGGAAGACGAGAGGGGATGAAAGAGGCAGCTAAGAGGGCCTCTGTCAGACTGACACCCATGCTGTCCCTGACAACCCCATTTGGATAAGAGGATTAAAGGGCAGAAGACACCTCACCTTGGCAGCCAACAAACTCTTCAGACCAAAATGTGCACCTTTCAGCATGAGACTCCGGATAACGAGGCAGAAAAGGATGATGTAGGGAAGGAGTACTGAGACATACAGCATCTGAGTAGGAAGTATGCTTCAGGAATAGAGTTCACAAAGGCAGAAGTTGGGATAGTAGAATTAAAGGCTATTGGGAATGACAGGTCAGATTAGAAGGAGTGAAAAGTTGGAGACCTACAGGCATCAAGTTGGGAGCATATTAGGGGGTCTCAGATAGAAGGGAGTCCGTCATCTTCGTAAGTTAGAGGGAGGCTCACCTTCCCAATGGACTTGGGCCCTTTGATCATGGAGATGCAGATAATTAACCAGGTCACAAAAAGAGAGACACTGAGATGCATGACTGGTAGCCCACCGATCTCGATTTCATCTGTGGCCTTCAATACCTTCCGGTACCAGAAATACGTGGTGGATGTTGTCCGTGCACATTCAGGATCTGAGGTGAACTGGCCATGGAGGAAACTGCAAGACCAGGCGCCTCCCCCTTCTTCACGTCTACCCCCTCAATCCCATTTTATCATCTTCCTGCTCATCCCTATTCTCTCAATGATCCTCTGCCTTTTTCATTGCCCTATCCTTTTCTCAGCCCTCCCACTTGCTCTTTTCTTCCCTCTCTTCTCACCAAAATCACTGGAGTTCTTCAGTAAAGGGCACCATGCCCAAGGTGGTGGAGACTGGAAAGACTGAGCCAAATAGAAGAGACTCCAGGCCATGAGGACACTGTAGTACAAGCCCACAATGATGCACACCTAGGGAATATGAAGAATTCTGGAGGCAGGGGAAGAAAGGTGGCCAGTAGATGGGAGGGATTTTGACCTCACGACTGGGGAACTGGAGGGACTTGACCCATGGAAGTGAAGTCATAGGACCCATTCCAGGGCAAGGGTTGGGATGGGGGTGGGGTGTAAAGGGTGGACCTGGGCAGCCCAGGGCTCCTCACCATGAAGCTGGTATACCCCACGCCACCAATCCAGGGGCTGACGACCTTCCATACACCAACGCTGCCCTGACGCATCCTCTGACCAGCTGCCATCTCCAAGAAAAGAAGAGGAACTCCAACCAAGAACAGCATGAGGATATAGATGATGAGAAAACTGCCTGTGCAGGGGATTCAAGAAGAGGCTCTGAGAACCCTCTGGCTCTTCAGTGCCTGGACTTCTTCCAGGGTCCAGAAAAACACATTCCCCACCAGTGACCTCCCTAGGGCCACAGGCATCAAGGACTAATTGTTTCCACATACCTCACAGTCCCAGGTGTCCAGTCCCTTGGCCCTCAATTCCTAGAAGACCCAGATACCTAGTTTCCACTCTCACCCTTGACCCAGGCCTCCAGCCCCACCATCCTTATGAACCTAAGTATTCAGATATTCTGCTCCCACCCTCCCAAGGTCCTAGGTGTTCAGGTACCTGGCTCCTGTCCCAGTCAGAATCCCAAATCCTCAGCCCCTACATTTCTCAGAGACCCTGGAATAGCCAAGAGAGTCCTCTGGCTCCTCATCTCCTTGTGGGTCCATGATTCCTGGTCCCCAGGCTTACCACCTCCGTTGTGAAAACACAGATAAGGAAAGCGCCAGATGGTGCTCAGCCCCACAGAGAAGCCCACCTGGGCCAGGAGGTACTCAGTTTTATTGGCCCAGAATGGGCGGTCAGTAGGGGCTTCATCCTTTGGCTTATCATCTTTTTCTATGGTCGCCAATGCTTCCTCATTATCTTCATCAGACCAAATGTCTGATGATGGCACGTCATACTTCCGTCTCCCAATCAATTCCTCAGTAGGCAACAACTCAGACTTTAAGAACTGGGAAGTTGAGGTAGTAGCAATCAGGGATTCAGAATCCGAAGGTCTAGACATCTGGGGCTTCTCATCCTGGGCCTCCCTGTTTCCACTAACAGTTGTCATCCTGGGTAGACTCTAGTTCCTGCTTCTGCAGGGATGGTGCCTCCTTCCTTGTTGACCTTAAGGACATCAAGAACCATAGACTTGAGGTATATGAGCTGAGGAAAGACAAGACTAATCCTACAAGAACCCCTGAGGCCTCCCCAGCCCTCTTATCCTTGTGTGGATAAGAACATGGATTCTCCACCTGGGAGAAGATACCAAGAATATGCCTGCCTCCAGAAAATAATAATATAAAAATACCATTTACAATAATAGTAAAAGACATAAAATGCCTAGGAATAATTTTGACAAAAGATGAGCAAGACCTTTACACACACCAAAAAACTATAAAACATTATTGAGAGAAAATAAAGAAGCTGCAAATAAGTTGAGAGAGAGAACATGTTCATGAGTTGGAAGTCTCAGTAGTAAACAACGTCAGTTCTCCCCAGTTTCATCTATAGATGCAATGCAATTCCTATTGAAATCACAGCAGGGTTTTTGTGGCAATTGACAAGCTGATTCTAAAACATACATGAAAAGCAAAAGGCCTAGAGTGGTTAATACAATCTTGATGGAGAAGAAGAAAACGTAAAGACTAATTATAAAGCTGCAGTAATTAAGAGAGTATGATATTGACACAGGGATCTATGGCACAAATAGATCAATGGAGCAATATGCTGCACTTTTCAATATGATAACTACTAGCCACATATGGCTATCTAAATTTAAATTAATTAAAATTAAATAAGATTAACAATTTAGTTCCTCAGTCACACTACTCACAATATCAAGTGCTTGGTCGCCACATGGCTACCATATTGGAAGGACAGACATAGAACATTTCCACTACCACAGAAAGTTCTTTGGATACCACTGGAAGATTTCAGAAACATACACACACCTGGATATCTGATTTGCAGCAAAGGATGGCACTGCAAAACTGTAGAGAAAGGATATTCTTTTCAGTAAATGACTGGTTGTTAGGGCAATTGGATATCTACATAAAAATAAATGAACCTTGGCCTCCCCAACTTCACATATTAAACAAAAATCTATTCAGTGCAGATTGTAGTTCTAAATGTGAAAGGTAAAACGATAACATTTCTAGATGAAAAACTTAGAAGAATATCTACATGACTTGAAGGAAGGCACAGATTTCTTAAATAGGACACACAAAACCACCAATCATAAAGAAAAAGTTTGACATAGACTAGAGTAAAAATAGAAACTTCTGTCAATCAAAAGTTACCATTAATTGAGTAAACAGACAAGCCATAGAGTAGTGGAAGATATTTGCAAAATATATGGTAGACAGAAAAACGCCCTCCTCCAAAATATCTACATCATAATCTCTAGAACCCGTGAAATATGTTACCTTAGATGGCAAAAGTGACTTGACTTTCCAGTGCAGTTAAGCTATGGATCTTGAAATGGGGAGATTATCCTGGATTATCTATGACAGGCCCAATGTAATTACAGCGTCCTTATAAGGGCAAGAGGGAGGTAGGAGAGTCAGAATCAGAGAAGGAAATGGGATGGCAGAAGCAGAATTTGGAGTGATGTGCTTTGAATGTGGAGGAAGGGGCCATGATTCAAGGAATGCAGAGGGTTCCTAGAAGCAGGAAAAGGCTAGGAAACGGATGCTCCCCTAGATTCTACATAAGGAACACAGGTCTGTTAACACCTTGCTTTTAGCCCAGTGAAACTGATTTCAGATTTCTGACCTCCAGAACTGTAAGATAATAAATTCATGTTGTTTAAGCCACTCAGTTTGTAGTTATTGTTAGAGCCACAGTAGGAAATTAACAAAATATACAACCAAAAACAGGACTTGTTTCCCAAAAAAATATTTATAAAAGAGAAATACCTACAAATAAATAAGAAAAAGCAGACAACCTAAAAAGTGGAGCGAAGGGAACAGAAAGCTTAAACAGGCATATTACTAAAGAAGACATACAAGGGGCCAGCCCGCCGGCTTAGCGGTTAAGTGCGCGTGCTCCACTACTGGCGGCCCGGGTTCAGATCCCGGGTGCGCCCCGACGCACCGCTTCTCCGGCCTGCTTCTCCGGCCATGCTGAGGCCGCGTCCCATATGCGGCAACTAGAAGGATATGCAACTATGACATACAACTATCTACTGGGGCTTTGGGGGGGAAAAAAAAAATGAGGAGGATTGGCAATAGATGTTAGCTCAGAGCCGGTCTTCCTCAGCAAAAAGAGGAGGATTGGCATGGATGTTAGCTCAGGGCTGATCTTCCTCACACACACAAAAAAAGATAAAAAAGAAGATATACAAACGGTCAATATACCTATGAAAAGGTGCTCAGTGCTCAATTTCTTTGGTCAACAAGAAAACATAAATTAAAACCACAATGAGAATAGATGGATATATATGTGCTAAATCAATTATAGTAAAATGTTAATTGTAGAATCTAGGTTGATGGGTATATGGATGGTCACTGTATAAATCTTTCAACTTTTCTGTATGCTTACACATTTTTTCAAAATAAAATATTGGGTGGGAATCACAATGAGATACCACTATATACCCACTAGATGAACTGACATGAAAAAGACTGATTAAACCAAATGATGGCATGTGTGGGAACTTCTGGAACTCACATACACTGTTGGTAGGAGCATAGATTGGTACAACTACTTCAGAAATAGTTGAATGTATCTACATACTTTAAATATTTTCATACTTTCTCACCCACTCCAAAGTGGTCATCTAACAGAAATGTGTACATAAGTACACCAAAAACCATGTCCAAGAATGCTAATAGCTGCACTATTCATAATTGCCAAAACCTGGAAACAACCCACATAGCCTTCAACAGTAGAATGGATAATGATAAAATAAAAAGAATGAATTACCGATGTGCACAACAACATGGATGAATCTCAAAAATATTATTTTGAATGAAAGAAGCCAAATCCAGAAGAGAACATACTATATAATTCCATCGATATGAAGTTCAAGAATAGGCAAAACAAATTCACAGTACCAGAAGCCAGGATACGGGGCCGGCCCAGTGGCGTAGTGGTTAAGTTCATGTGCTCCGCTTCGGCGGCCCAGGGTTTGTGGGTTTGGATCCCGGGCACAGACTTGTGCACTGCTTATCAAGCCATGCTGGGGCAGGTGTCCCACATACAAAGTAGAGGAAGATGGGCATGGATGTTAGCCCAGGGCCAATCTTCTTCAGCAAAAAGAGGAGGATTGGCAACAGATGTTAGCTCAGGGCTAATCTTCCTCACCAAAAAAAAAAAAAAAAAAGAAGCCAGGATAGTGTGCTCACATTGTGATAATTTATCTAGCCATAATTATGATTTGTGCATACCTCAATATGTGATACTTCAATAAAAGTTTATCTAAAAAATAAATATTAGAAAACAAAAAAATCCTAGATTTCCATACAGTAATAATAAACAGAAAGTGGATTTTAAAAAAGAAAGATAGCACTTACAATAGCAACAAAAACTATATGGCATCAAGAAAAACCTAAACAACATTAAAACAGACCTAAATAAATACACAAATATCTAATGTTCATGGATATAAATATTCAATACTGTAAATATGGAGTTTCTCCTCCAAATTGAGTTATAGATTCCATGCAATTCCAATCAAAATCTCAATATAATTTTTCACGAAAGCTAACAAGATTTTACAACTTATATAGAAGAACAAAGTGCCAAAAATAATGAAGAAACTACCACTAGTCTTTGGTTGCTAGACACGATGGAGTAAACTAACAACATACAGCCAATCTCCCCCACTGATTATAGCTAAAATCTCTGGATAGAATACAAAAAGCTACTACCTGAAGACTTTGAAAAGTAAACAATAGTGGTCACACTGGGGATTCAAGTTAAAACTTGAATAATGACTTATAATAGGGGGAATGAGTTTCACATATTTTTTTCCTCCTTTGTCTCTTGATCCAAGCCAAATCATGGAACTGTACAAAAAGCACTAAAAGCAAAAACTCCAGGAGAAACCCCCTATTTCCAGAGGACAAGGAAAAGGAGTTCCTATGCACCAAACAGTGTGAGGTAAATACCCATTTTCCCTTCTCACGTCAGAGGCTCACCTCTGAACTACACAAGTACAGAACAAATGCCAAGAATCATAGCAAGGCTTTAAAAACTGAACCACTGTCCAAGTCACAGACTAACCCCAGGGTGGCACATGCTAACCCAAATAGCACAGCAAAAGCTTTGAAAATTGAGCTAACATTGTAACCAACGCCCTCAGAAGATATGACAAAACTTGCCATCTGAACCTAACCGGGTTGATTGCCTGCTAAAATAAATAAGCAAACAAAATTCAACACTCTCCTGAGGATATTATATCTACAGGACCCTGAGTTTCAAAACATAATATTCAAAATTCCAAGGATACAATCCAAAATTACTCATAATTTAAAAAAAAAAAACAAACACAAGAAAAATCTGACCATTTCCCAAGGGAAAAGACAATCAATAGATGTCAACTCTGAGATGACCTACATGATGGAACTAATAGAAAAAGACTACTATTTTTTTTAAAGTATGTATTTTATTTTTTCCAGCTTTATTGAGGTATCATTGACAAATAAAAATTGTATATATTTAAGGTGTAAAATGTGATGTTTTGACATACATATATATTGTGAAATGATTACCACAATGAAGCTAATTAACTTATCCCTCACCTCACATTTACCATTATTTTTTTGTGTGTGGGAAAAACACTTAAGATCTACTCTCTTAGCAAATTTCAAGTATATAATACATTATTATTAACTATAGTTACCATGCTGTACATTAGGTCTCCAGAACCTATTCAGCTTATAACAGAAAGTTTGTACTCTTTGACCAACAAACATCTCTCCATTTCCTCTACCCCTCAGCCCCTGGTAACCATTCTTCTACTCTACGTTTCTATGAGTTCAACTTTTTTAGATTCCACATGTAAGTGAGATCATGCAGTATTTGTGTTTCTGTGCCTGGCTTACTCCACTTAGTATAACATTC